TGTGCTCTGCACACAGACACTTCCTGTTCCCGAGCTCAGACATCTATTCTGCCCAGGGCATCGTATGATACATGAAAGTATGCAGTTTTCATACAAGGAATTTATGGCTTCTAGTTTTTCTGACTTTTTCTCAAACAATATATTGTTATTCATAGTATACGTTAGTCAAGAATTTTAGGCTCTTTCATTATTCATGTCACAACATAAAACCATTCATTTGAGAAGGAATATCTGTTAAACAGGTAGAATTAACTTACCATATCCATGGTTTAATAATGAAAAATATCACAATGAATTGTTTAGTGTTGTGTTTGAAAATTTCTTTACAATAAATGGAGAATAGTTGTGCTAAATTATTTGACACTTAAATTTTGTTTCTTTGATTTTATCCTGTGAAGAAGACATAACTACCATGCTTTTTGGAAATTGACCACCTTTTCTATACCGTGCATTTTGCAATCCTTTCAGTAAAGACAATTTTACAAGTTCTGAGCGTGTTTGCTGGGTGGATTTCTGCAGTTAGGTCTGAGTCTGGTGCTCACAGTGAATCGACTGTTGTCCTGAACAGCTTGCCCTCTTCATGTACGCTGTTTCTCCTCTGTGTCAGATGTATGCTGTCATCTCAGTCCACTTGCTAGGAAGTTTGTCACTACTTCTCTGTCTAAATTGGAATGTGCATCATGTTGTAGGAATCAATCACCTCTGAAGATGTGACAATAAAATTCACCCAAGATGAGTGGGCCCTGCTGGATACACCACAGCAAATGCTGTATAGAGATGTGATGTTGGAAGACATCAGTACTCTGGTTTACCTTGATGCGCCTATCTACCTACATTTCTATGTACCTATGTATTTATCTAAATTCAATCATATGTGTAATCAGTCAAACATTTTTTTGGATATATGTCCCATACCCTACTCAATTTCTTTTCTGGTTAAATCATAGACATGTCAGTTTTGTCAAAGATATGTTCATTTTCCTTTATTCATAGCGCTTTTATTACAATTCTCTTTAATATAGTCTTGGAAAAAGTTTCATGCCTCCGTGTAGCTAACTCTCCAAATTCTCAGCAACTCTGATGAACAGAATTTCTGGACTTTATAAATGCCACAAATATTTCATAAATGATTATTATTTTCACATCATTATGATGAAGCTGTGATTGATGAAAAATGCAACGAGTGTGAGTCTATTGAGTGTACTTCATAATAACTAAGTCTAAGAATCAGCCAGTATGTCCACTGACAGAAGAATATATAAAGAAAATGTGTTATCTGTATAAAATTCATCACTTCACGTTAAATATTTATGGATTTGAGAGTTTGTCAGAAAAGAGATGTACCTGAGAAATATAATGTGCTATTTTGTGTCTCTTGCTTGAGTGAGGCAAATTAAAAAATTAAGAGACAAAAATGCATAGAAGAACAAGAAAGGCTCCAGATCTTCAGAAATGTAAAAGAGTCCAGGAAACAGTGGGGAGGATGAAAAATATGGAAAAATTTTTCATAAATTTTTATGAAAAATAAAAATTTCTGGGGATTTAGCTGGGGATTTAGCTCAGCGGCACAGCACCTGCCTGGCAAGCACGAGGTCATGAGTTTGATCCTCGGTACTGGAAAAAAAAAAAAAAAAAAAAAAAACCAGAACAAAAAAAAAAAAACAAATTTAAAAAAAAAGCAGTGGGGAGGATAAAAGGGGATGGAAAGTAAGAAATTTGAAATGTGCCACACATAAACTGTAAATACACACAGTGAATGTGAGCATTATGGGTGAATAACGTGATCAAAAAATGAAACCACCAAAACAAATGGAAAAGGGGGATTTGAAGATGGGGAGGGGAATTGGACAAAAGAGAGATTAAAATGGAAGGAAGCTGGTTATGTACATTTGACCAATGCCAGACGAATGTAAACTTCATATACAAGCAGATACTAAAAAAAATAAAATTAAACAATTTCGTCTTTTAATTTTTTATATTTTTCCATTAACATCTAGTTCATTAAGTGTAGCTCTGATGTTTATTGCTTCTTTCATTGGTTACATCTTCGGTTTATTAATATTTTTGAAATTTAAAAGAACATACTTTTATTTAGTCTTTCATGTTTTACACTTCACATCTAATTCAGTATGTTCAGTTCTAATGTTTATTTTTGGTTTATTTGATACATTTTTGGTTCACTATTGTCATTTATTTGATATGGAACATTTTCCTTTCTTGAGATATCTTACATTTTTAAAATTGTTAATACTAGTTGTGGCCTTTCAGATTAGAACAGCCCACACTTGGTGTAATATTTAAGGTATTTCATCTTTCCATTTCCATGTGATTCCACGCAATTTTACTTTTACCCAATTTTATATTGAACACTCAAAACCTCATGAATCAATGCCCGTACATTTGTGCAAGTTCTATCATTTGTTTACCTGTGGAATTTCGATATTATATTGACAGAATTGACCTTTTCAAAGCAGTAAGTACACGGCACATCTTGGAGTTTATGTGTTTCATTCTTACTTTTGTGTAAATCATTTTTTACACTATTACAGAAAGAAAGACTGGCCATGAAGAAGAAGGGATGAGAACCACTCAACGTATGAGTAGGAATAGCATGCATACCATCAAGCCAATGGTAAATGTAATATATATGAATTCTTGCACGCATATTGATGAATGTGCACACAAATTAAAGAAATGAGAAAATGGTAACTGAGCACAGCAGCCTCCTCTCTGACAAGACTAAGCACTCTCTAAATAATTAGCTCTTGACACATTAAAATTGTTTAGAATTTCACGAGGTCAAGAGCATGATGTGTGATCTTAAGCAAAAAGAAAGAGATGGAAATAGTCTATGAAATACATGATACCTCCCATATTAATCTAAAAATTGTTTACTTGTGATGTTAAACAAATGAGTATTTATTTTACCTGGTAATAGCATAATATGCATATAGAAATAAAAATGGAAACATTATCTCTAATTTCACAGATTAACCTACACTTAATACTTAGTGAAACTTATTTATGATGATATATGAGTACATAAAGAACTATTATTTTCTTCCCAAAACAAATAAGACAGACTCAGGAAGACCATTCATTTGAAATAAATTAAAAGATTATACTAACTGCTGTGACTTGACATAACATTTCTTTTTTATTTTTTTAAATACAATAATAATAATAACAAAGGGACATATTTCTTAATTCAACTCTTTACTAACACTGTATACTTACAGTGAAAACAATCCATTAGTGAATATTCACACATGAAAGGACAAAATAATAATTCATAAACACAAAAATCATACATATTAGCAAAGTGGGAAACACTTTGTCATCTCCTAAAGTCTCAGGAAATTCGCTATGATGATAGAGACACAAGACCACATAAAAGGCATCTGTTTCAGAAAGCCTTTAATAAAAATCTCTGAACTCAAATGCCATAAACTATATGAATGCCATTGATGCAAATACAGTCAAATTAATGTTTCACACTTCTACTACAGGGGAAAACACAGGGTGGAGAGAAACAGTTTGAAGGACATCTGTGTGGGAAAACCTTCAAGTTTCAGTCTGCACTCAGAGGGCAAAAAATGACTCGCTAAAAAGTCAGCTGTGTGGGAAATTTTGTAAAATTACTTGTAAGCTTAGAGATTGTAAACAACTTCAAACAAGGGAGGAGACAAATGAAAATTCTGTGCGGAAAATGTTTTAATCAATCTTCTAATCTCATCAGGATCAGAGAACATGTACTGGTGAGAAAAAATATAAACATCATCTGTGTGAGAAAATCTTTACTAAGTCATCTAGTCTTGAAAATCATAAGAGAACACATCCACAGGAGAGAACCTTATGGATGCCATCTGTGTGTGAAAGCCTGTGCTGATTTATCCAGCCTAGATACTGTAAGAGAACACACATGGGAGAGAAACCTTATAAATGTTATCTGTCTTGGAATACCTTCACTAAAACATCTAGGCTAAACAATCATAACAGAACACAGACAGCAGAGAAACTATATGGATGCCACCTGTGTGAAAAAATATTCACTCAGACATAGTGCCTTAGCAGTCATGAAAGAACACACATAGGAAAGAAACCCTACAGATATCATCTGTGTGGGAAAACCTTCACTCAATCATCTACTCTTAAAAATTGTAACAGAATACACAAAGGAGGGAGAACACATGACTGTGATCTGTGTGGGAAAACCTTCATTCACTCATCAAACCTTAGTAACCATGAGAAAACATACAAGAGATAGACCATATAAATGTCATCTGTGTTGAAAAGGCTTTATTCAATCATCCAACCTTACAGTCCATGAAAGAATACATGCAAAAAAAGCCATATGGATGGTGACTATGTGGGAAAACCTTCATTCACTCATCAAGCCTTAGTAAGCATGAGACACACGCAGCAGAAACACCACATGAAAGTCATCTGTGGGGAAAAGTCTTAAATCAGTCATCTGATGTTAATATGTGTGAGAAAACACACAAGTGACAGAAAATATAGGAATACTCTGTGTGTTAATGCCCAGTATCACCAGTTTCCTGACCATTATGGTAATCTATGGGAGTGTCACATCCATCAGGCACAGCTAGCTTCCCAGCACTGGTCCTTCTCTACTTTCTCAAAACGTCCACTCCTTCCTCAGTTCAACCACACCCGTGGAATTCCCACCTCAACGCCCTGCCTCAGATCCTTTGAGAAATGCTCCCATCTCTCTGTAGAACTCTTGGTCCCTTCACCCCTGCTTTGTTCCCTTCCCCAGGCTTCAGGTCCATTCATGCCTCCAAACTCCCCCCACACATCCATGAGATTCACCCTTGCTAGGTGTGGTTCCTCCATGCCTTTTGGATCTTGGCCAGCATCCCCCATTCTTTTCCTACCAGGGCTGGTGCCTCAAACCCTGCTTATGTTCCTTAATATCTACATTGTTGAAGCCGCCAAGCTTCAGGTCTAATAGTTTCTCCTAGAGATCCTCTTTACAGAAGGGGCTTTCTGTAGACTGGGACAGCACAGAGACTCAGGACACAGGGAAAACAGGAAGTGCTTACAAGGGAAGTCGTTACACTTGTTTGACAAAAGCAAATGCTAAAGGTTTTGAGGCCATGGGGTTACACAACTACCAGACAATCTGCAGCAGTTGGATGACACAGATCCTACCACTTCCAACAGCCTAAAATCAATGAGAATCCAGGCAAGCACAGCTGATGGAGGAGTCCAAGGGGGGCCATACAAACCCCATAAAATCAAGGGACAGGCCCCATGTTGAGGGCTTTCCTGCTCTAGAACACTAAGTTGCAGAAGTGTGTATTCCTTTTCTGAAATGAAACTCACTTTCACTTGGCAACTTCCATAGACTTCTCTCCTTTAAGTCTATACTGGCCTGAGACTGGACCTAGGAACATCAAAATATTGGTTGTCACAACCCAGCCATGACACCTCGATTCTCCTGGGAATCCCCCACCTAAACCTTGCTTTGGTCCACCTCTCTTCTGGTCTTTCCCCACCTCTCCCTTTACTTGCATGTCTCTTTGGTCCTTTTGTGCCAGCCTCAGGTCGCTCTGCCCTGTGACCTTTATATTCATCTGGGTGTACCACACCACATGTTTGGTTTTCTGTCCATGCTGTATTTCTCTCAGAGAGGTTCTCCACTGCACTTTTCTGCACTTGCTCTTTTCAGTTTATCCACAAAACCCAAAGTATTCTGCCAACTTTGTCTGCTTCCATGCAATCTCTCAGGTCGCAAAGCCCTGGTCATCCAGGGGCATCCACTGACCACTGCCAAACTCCACCCTGTGCGTGAGTGACACTCTCTGCAGCCACTCAGGATCGAGCCTTCACTGACCGCTTCCCATTCTCAAATGAACGCTAGTTTGGCCTTGGCTGGATTCTCTCTGCCGCTACTCAGTGTTTTACTACAATTCTCCTTGGATTGCTGCTTTCTTAAATTTAATCTTGAAATTGCTGCACTCTGCTGTCTCCATCTCACTCATCATTCCCCTTCTATCTCACTAAATCTCATCTTCCCTCTATGTGCTTCACCCCACTGCACACACGTGGTTCCCCTGGTCGCATTCTGCCTCCCAGCCACAACTTCGCCACAACCCCAGTCCCCTGAGTTCATCTTCCTTGCTCTGTGCTGACCCATTAGGCTTCTGTGTCTACATTTTCTGGCTGAAAACTAAGTATACTTATCATTTTTCCCAGCTCAGCAACACTGTATTTTATGGTTATTTACTTACCTTGTAAATATTTGAAGACTCCTTCACATTTATTCTTCTTCATTTGAATAGTAACTAAATTTTGCTTCATGTTCTGTCCACATTATCACCTGTTGAAGTGAAATTTTGTACCAGATAAATTTAGCAGATTTCATGGAATAAGGCAATACAAATGCATTTTTTTTTATTTTTAAGAAATAAAAGAAGGAAAACATATAAACAAACAGACATCCATTTAAAAAATACTATAAGAACAATACAAACAAAACAGTTACAGACAAAGTTGTAGGAAATTTATCATGGTAGTTGTTTTACTTATTGATATTTTCAAAGTGGTTTCTCAGGAAAACAAATAGAGACATACAAGATTGATCAAACAAGTAATCATTAACTGTTCCTTTCTGTAAAGCAATAGAAGACAGTCGTACAACTATGTTAGCTATCCTGTATATACATAATTATATAATTTCCCCTTCTTTCCTTTCTCATTTCCCACACCCCAGTTGCCCTTTACTTTTGAGCATTTTCCTTTCATTTCACAATGTTTATCATACCACTTAGTTTTTACTCACTCTTTCAGGACTTACACTAGTGAGACAATATGATGCTTATCCATGCAGGTCTGATTTATTTCACATATGAATATTGACACTAGTTGTGACCATTTACATATCAAACCTCAAATTCTCTTTCTTTATAGCTGAGTAGTATTCCATTACATAAAGTACCATGATTTTTTTTTTAATCAATCCTCAATGGATGGACATTTGGGTTGCTTCCACAATTTAGCAATTACAAATTGTGTTGGTATGAACATGGGTGTACATATATCGCTGTGATATGATGTTTTCAGATTTTCTGGGAAAATACCCAGAGGGGAATAATTATGTTGAATGGGACCTATAGACTTAGTTTGCTGAGGAATCTCCAAATTGATTTCCACAGCGACTTCACCAGTCTACATTCCAACCAGCAGTGCACGAGTTCCTTTTTCTCCACAGCCTCGCCAGCATTTGTTATTGGTTGATTTCTGAAAGCCAGCCATTTTTACTAGTGTGAGACGATATCTCAATGGTGTTTTAATTTGCATTTCTCAAATGACTAATGATGTTGAACATTTTCTCATGTATTGATCTACCATTTGTATTTCTTTATCTGAGAAGTTTTTGTTCATCTCAGCTGCCCATTTTTGGATTGGGTCTTTGAATTAGGTGGGACTGATGTTTTTAATTCTTTATATGTTCAAGATAGAAGCCCTTTGTCTGAGGGACAGTGAACTAAAATTTTTTCCCACTTTGTGGGTTTTATTTTTACTCTGCTGGTCTTTTCTTTAGATGTGCAGAAACTTTTCAGTAGGATTTGATCCTAGTTGTTGATTCTTTGAAGTATTTCATGGGCAGTTTTGTTTTTGATCATGAAATCTCTACCTACCTCTATGTCTTCAAGACTTTTACCTATTTTCTCTTCCAATAGATTTAGTGTTTCTGTTTTAATATTGAGATCTGTGATCCATTTGGGGTTTAGTTTGGTGCATGGTGATAGTCTTGGGTTTATTTTCAGTCTTTGGTGTGTGGCAAGCCAATTTTTCCAGCACCATTTATTAAAGAGGCTATCATTCTTCCAGTGAGTTGTTTGGTCCCTTTATCAAAGATTAGGTGGCTGAGTGTGTTTGTGGTTGTGGCTGTGTCCTCCAGTCTCTTGCATTGATCCTCCAGTCTGTTTTTTAGCCAGTACCAGGTTGACTTTATTACAGTAGCTTTGTAGTATAATTTGAGGTCAGGGATTGTGATTCCACCTGACTTGTCCATGTTCCCCAGGATTGCTTTTGCTATTCTGGGTCTCCTGGGGTTTCAGAGGAATTTAAGCAATATTTTCT